AGTGTTGGAGTGCTTTTGCAATTCACACTAACAAATGTTTAATCCAGCATTCTCCACAGACAAACAGAGATGAGATGGTGATTACCCAGGTAAATGTAAAGGTTCTCCCTGCACATACATGCTAGCCATTTCTGGCTCTGGGGGGTGGTGCTCATCTCCGTTACAAAGCCGAAGAAGAGCCAGTGCTGTCCAAAGACGTCTCCGTGGTCATGTGGCCAGCAGGAGTAAATGCCTTCGAAGAGGCACGGAACGCTGTTACCTTCCCATCAAAGGGGTCCCTATTTTTCTACTTGCACTTTTCTACATGCTTTTGAACTACTAGGTTGGCAGAAGCTGGGACAAGTTACAGGAGCTCACTCCATTACGCGGCACTAGGGATTCGAACTGCCAAACTGCCGACCTTTCTGATTGACAAGCTCAGCCACTGAGCCACTGCGTCCCCTACCTAGAGTAGACATCAAAGGACAAGAATTTGTCCTGTTTCATAACTGAATTAGAAGTTCAGCTGAACTTCTCCAGAATTCCTGACACCCTACAATTAAGGAACTGCCAAACAAGCAAACATTAAAACAGAATCTTCAAGACCAATCCCACCAATACTGACAGGGCTAGAAAACAAACTGAGAGCAAATCCCACTTCCTACTAGTACTGATGATGTTGCCTAGTTTGGTAATGAGATTTCTGCAAGAAAACAACCAAGGTCAGAGAGCACCAAGGACCCCTCATTTCATCCCTGAGCGACAAATATTCTGAAGGAGGAACAAATATATGCCCATTCTCCTTCAGCTTAGTGTGTGTTTGTGTGTGTGTGTGTGTTTGTGTGTGTGTGTGTATTGCCTTTTCAAATACTGAGTTAAAGCCCTCTAGGAGAACATGGAGTGCAGCACCATACAGGAAAGTGTCTAGCATTTTTATTTTACCAGTTCTCATCCAATTTTTTTAAAGGATAATGTACTTTGAAATGCTGTTTTGAATTAGAGTTATAGAGAGGGTGGATTATCAGAATAGAATAGCAGGATAATAGAGTTGGAAGGGACCTTGGAGGTCTTCTAGTCCAACCCCCTGCTCAGGCAGGAGACCCTATATCAGACAAATCATTATCCAATCTCTTCCTAAAAACTTCCAGTGTTGGAGCATTTACAACTTCTGGAGACAAGTTGTTCCACTGATTAATTGTTCTAACAGGAAATTTCTCCATAGTTCTAGGTTGCTTTTCTCCTTGATTAGTTTCCACCTGTTGCTTCTTGTCTTGCCCTCAGGTGCTTTGGAGAATAGCTTGACTCCCTCTTCTTTGGGGCGGCCCCTGAGATATTGGAACACTGCTATCATATCACCTGTAGCCCTTCTTTTCATTAAATTAGACATACCAAATTCCTGCAACCGTTTTTCATATATTTTAGCCGCCAATCATCTTTGTTGCTCCTCTCTGCACCCTTAAAGTCTCAACATCTTTCACTTAGTGTGCTAAGTGTGCAACCTTTACCTTAGTGTGCTGCTCAATTGCTCCCCAGCCACGTTTTCTGCAACTTATATTTGCCTTGTATTTTTCTGGAAGGGCAGAGGCGTGCACTGTGAATGCAAGGCTGAATGTGTTCACCTGGGACCTTCACCAGGGACCATCGTGGACAGTTTCTTATCTATGTTCCCTCAAAAGCTTTGATCAGCATCCCTTTGATCCATGTCACTTATAAAAACACTGACATCAGAAAGACTGCTCAACAAACTCAACTTTGCCTGTAGACCTTAATGGTAGATAAATCCCTTGATTCATCGGCTTGGTGTCTTTGAAAGACAAGGATGATTATTTACCTATCTCCAGGTTTCTTTAGGCTCCTAGTCTGATAGCCAAGAATCCTTCAAGATTGCAAACAATAGTTCAGAAAGAAGAAGCTCTATAAACATCTAGACGTGTGCCATGATCCTGACTATCTAAACCACAGGTGGTATTCAGCAGGTTCTGACCAGTTCTGGAGAACCAGTAGTGGAAATTTCGAGTAGTTCGGAGAACTGGCAAATACCACCTCTGACTGGGGATTTTACAGTATCCTTCCCCTGCCACGCCCACCAAGCCACACCCACAGAACCGGTAGTAAAAAAGATTTGAATCCCACCACTGATCTAAATTCATTTAATGCAGATAAGATTGGCAGTAACACCGCCGAAAAAGACTGATCTGAACAATTGAACAGGATCCAGACAAATGTTAAGGGCTAACTAGACTGTAAGGTTAAAATCTGTTGCATGAGCGTCCCAGCCTGCTTTGAGATACTCTCTATTTTCATATCCAAACACCGCATTGCCCTGAGATACACAATACACAATAAGAAAAGCAAAGATGCCCACCACAGCTCCAGATGGCACGGTGGAATTAATTCAAAACAATAATGTTGGAAGTGTTGAAATGTTGGCAAGATTGGTAAATCGCAAGAGATCTGGGACAAGAATTATGGAGCTCTCACCTCACAATCAGGAAGCTGTGAGTTCGACCCTAGGTAGAGGCTAATTTTTGGAATAGACCAGGGGTGGGATTCTACTAGTTCTGTCCAGCTCTACAGAACCGGTAGTTCTGAAGAGCAGCAGACACAGAAATGGTTCTGTGTCTGTTGCTGTTTTGGCCCACCTGCCTGCCCGGGCTCTTACCTGTCCTTTATTTCCTGCTTTTTCAACCACAGCTGCTTTGCGCGGCACAGCTGTGGTTGAAAAAGCAGGAAAAAAGGGTTTTTCCAACCGCTGCGCACCCGCGCGCAGCGTTTATCGGCTGTCCGGGCAGCTCAGCAGGTCGTAAATTGCAGGCGTGCATGTGCGCAAAGTGCACATGTGTGTGAGTCACAGAGCGACAGAATCAGTAGTTATACTGGTCAGATCTCATCCCTGGAATAGACTCTCCTGCTCGAGCAGGGGGCTGGACTAGATGGCCTCCAAGGTCCCTTCCAACTCTGTTATTCTATGATAAATCTTGACAATAAGGCAGGAGTGGGATTCAAATGTTTTAACAACCGGTTTTGTGGGCGTGGCTTAGTTGGTGGGCATGGCTTGGTGGTCATGTGACTGGGTGGACATGGCTTGGTGGTCATGTTATTGGCTGGGTGTGGCCAACTCAGTATCACTCACATTGAGGCACACATCTCCTCGCCTGGCCTCTCGTGACTGTGGGGATGCTGCAACAGTCGTAAGTGTGAAAAATGGTCATGTCACTTTTTTCAGTGCCATTGTAACTTTGAATAGTCACTCCACACTAGCAAAGTACCAGCAAAGGAGGGAAAGAAAACTCCAGAGATCTCCTGAGACAGGAAGTCTAGTCCTGCCAAGAATGTAATAAGGGTTAATGGAGAGGCAGTTTCTGTAAGCAACACCAGAATGTTTCCTTCCTGCCTTCCTTACAGGATTAGACCAGTAATTTCTTCCAACAACCGGTTCTCTGAACTGCTTAGAATGTTAACAATCAGTTCTACCAAATAGGTGCAAACTGGTAGAATCCCACCCCTGCAATAAGGTATGGGTCAGTTTTAAAAACAGTGTTAATCTCATGTATTAGTACCCAGTGACTGAAGAAGCTGCTAATCCTTGTTTTAATTCTTTAACTTTTGGGGAGAGTTTGGTGAGCCGTAACAGCATCTCTAGATGTTCCTCACAAAGATGATTAGGGGACTGGAGTATAAACTATATGATGAAAAAGGTAACTAGGTATGTGAAGTTTAACACAAAAAAAAAAAAAACAGTACTAGAGGTGACATGATAGCAGGCTTCCAATATTTGAGGGGCTGTTATAGAGAAGACTGGGTTGATCTAGTCTCCAAGGCACCTGAGGTCAGGACAAGAAACGGTGGGTAGAAGATCATTCAAGAGAGAAGCCACCTAGAATTAAGGAGTAATCTTCTGACAGTGAGAACCATTAATCAGTGGAATGGCTTGCCATCACTGGAGGTTTTAAAGAAGACACTGGATAGCCATTTGTCCAAAATGGTATAGGTTCTACTACTCAAGCAGTGGGGTGGACTTGAAGACTTTTAGAATAGAATAGAAATAATAACATAGCATAGCATAGCATAGCATAGCATAGCATAGCATAGCATAGAATAATAGAGTTGGAAGAGACATTGTAGGTCCTACTCCCTGCCCAAGCAGGAGACCTACTCCATTTCTGATAGATAGCAGTCCAGTCTCTTCTTGAAAACTTCCAGTGATGAAGCTCCCACAACTTCTATTCCATTGGTTGATTGTTCTCACTGTCAGAAAATTCCTCCTTATTTCCAGGTTGAATCTCTCTCCTTGTTCAGTTTCCATCCATTGTTCCTTGTCTGACCTTGGAATGCTTTGGAAAACAGGTTGACCCCCCTCCTCCTCTCTGGGGCAGCTCCTCAGATATTGGAAGACTGCTATCCTGTGTCCCCTGGTCCTTCTCTTCACTAGACTAGCCAGGCCCAGATCCTGTAACTGTTCTTCATATGTTTTAGCCTCCAGTCCCCTCATCATCTTGGTTGCTCTTCTCTGCACCATTTCCAAAGTCTCAACATCTTTTTTTATAGTGTGGTGACCAAAACTGCATCCAGGACTCTAGGTGTGGTCTTACTAAGGCTTTATAGAGTGGTATTAGTACCTCACCTCCCAACGCTGTTATTTGGAATTCTGTATTCCTTTTGTTTTTTATATCGAACAAGTTGGCAGTTTTTGTGCCTTTCATGATTCACTTGGGAGATTCTCCCATCCCTTCTGAATTCTCTTCTGTTTCTGAATTTGTCCTACTGAGGGTGTTATCAGCACACCTCCCTGATGTTTATCCAGCTCCCCTGACCATTGGCCAGTGACATTCAACAGGCCAAAGGTCTGGGACTATGAGGAGCAGGGGAATTACTTGACCCAATCAAGATCTACTGATAGTTACTGGTAAGGTTGTCTTGGTCAGCAGTTACTGTGGGGTTCTGAGTGTCAACTCTGAACTTCAGTTCAACCCAAATTCAGTTGGCTGCAGATTTCCCAAGTTTGGCTGTCAAATCTAAGAATGGAGAATGCTACGCATCATGAGAAACAGAAGGCGGCATTCACACTGAAGAGGTTTCATATTTCTGAAGATTATGGTTTCCTTCTTCCAAATCCATTGGTAGGTATATCCTTTTGCCCAAAACTAGAGGTGTGGGAAGAAGGAGAAAATGTTCAGATGGTTGGATGGATGGAAGGAAGTTGAGGAAGTAGTTTAGTTTTCCCCAAGGTTGTCTACTTCTGCTGATGGATTTGGGCTTGCAGAGAGGCAGAGTGACCTGAAATCAATTTGGGATTTCAATATTTAAGAGACTAAATAAGCTTTCTGATTGGGAGAAGAAGGAAGAGAAGGAGGATTATCTGTGTTCCTTTCTTTGTAAATTTTTTATTTTATTTTTAATACAAACAAGCCATCATCCATTAAACAGTATGTTGCCTGGGTACAAATATTTTGTGGAATAACAATTAAAATTTCCAACCATAATCATTACATTCGTTCTCTACTCTTAGCTTATTACTGATATATATAGTATATCTCATTTTTATAACAATCCTCATCTTAATTTATTTACTTTTATAAACATATTTTCTATTGGCTAGTCTCTAATTTTCATATTTATTCTCTAACCATTGATAAAACGATTCCCATATCATATAATATTCGGTTTGTTCCTTCTTTTTAATTGCAAGTGTTAATCTTTGTTCTGATTTCCTTACACGGTTGTAAGAATGAGGACCAGATACCAACAAATGTGGGAATCATTTTCTTCCCAATCTAAGAAGGACAGATATTAAATAGGGTTTGTATCTAAATGAGTGGAAACTTGAAGATACCATTCCATTGTGGTAATGATCTGTGGAATGACAAGATAAGTTTTGCTGGGAGAAAAAAACTTCTTTTTCATGGATCATTTTTTCATCGATAGCAAACAAATGTCTGTAACCATGCATAACTTTTTGAGGCAAAAGATCTAAGGAGGGAATGATTGCAGCTAGCAGGAATAAAATAATAATTGATATAAATGAGAATTAAGTCTGCTTTACATAGTAGTACGTTGCCTGGAGTAGCTTGTTAGGTGGGATGGGTGGCTATATAAATTGGATGAATTAATAAATAAAATCAGCTATCTTGATGTCAATTATGAATATATTCCCTTACCACAAGCTGAAAAATTTCTTTCCATGATGCCCCAAAGACTTTGACATGTCCTTCTGCTAAATTTCTTGTTGAGAGTTGAGACTCTAGAAAAAGTGCAGAGAAGAGCAACCAAGACATATGATGAATGGTTGCAGGAACTGGGCATGGCTAGTCTAGTGAAGAAAAGGACCAGGGGAGACATGATAGCAGTCTGCCAGTAGTTGAGGGGCTTTCACAGAGAGGAGGAGAGTCAAGCTATTTTTCAAAGCCTTAAAGATTTAGTAAGAGCACATCTAAAATACTGCATCCAGTTTTGGTCACCATACTATAAAAGAGAGGTTGAGGCTCTAGAAAAAGTGCAGAGAAGAGCAACCAGGATGATGAGGGGACTGGAGGCTAAAACATACAATGAATGGTTGCAGGAACTAGGCTTGGCTAGTCTAGTAAAGAGAAGGACCAGGGGAGACAGGATAGCAGTCTTCCAATACTTGAGGGGCTGCCCCAGAGAGGAGAAAGGGGTCAAGCTGTTTTCTAAAGCACCTGAAGGCCAGATAGGAAATAATGGATGGAAACTGAACAAGGAGAGATTCAACCTGGAAATAAGGAGAAACTTTCTGACAGGGAGGACAATCAACCCATGGAACAGAAGTTGCCTTGGGAAGTTGTGGGAGCTTCACCACTGGAAGCTTTCAAGAAGACACTGCCCTACAATTTTTATGGAATAGTACAGGATCTTCTGTTCAAGTAGGGAGCTGGACTAGAAGACCTCCAAGGTCCCTTCCAAAAAATCTGAGAATTTCTGAAAGGCAAGACTTCCTCTCAATAGGAACCAGAGCAGAGCGGTCCAATATGTCTCATGGATGTTCTTCTGATTATACCTAAAATGTAGAAAGCAACAACTATATGGAAGACCAAGTTAGATTTTTCACTCCTTGGTTACCATTATCCCCAAATAGAATTTTTTTATCGGCCAAGTGTGATTGGACCCACAAGGAATTTGAGAGAAAAAGCGCTCAGTGTACATGCAAGCAATAAGTGATAAATCATGATCATAGACATCGTAAAAATGCATTCATCGTAAATCATAAGATGCAACATTTAGGGATAGTCATAGGACACTAAATAAGCAATCAACACAAATCATACTGGGATACTAAGTAGACAATTTAAATTGTAAGATACACGCAACAAGTTCAAAGCAGTGGCAACTATCCCCAGAATGAAAAACTGGGCAAAGAGAATCCACAAAGCAGAGATTTCCTAACCCTTCTACAACCTTTTCTATTTGACTGTCTCCAGCAAAGAGTTAATATCGTAAGAAGTTTGTTTCCCATCGCTTGTCAGAATATAATTAAAATAGCAGGTTGTCTCCACTCCGGGGAAAACTCTCAGTGGATCAGAAATATATTAAGGGCTGATGCAGCCAAGAAGCTGGGAGAAGTGAGAATTTCTGGTTGCGTGCTTTTGTTACAGTAAAAAATGTACCCCGTTTTTTGCAGACATTTTCTGGATCACAGAACAGATGCTTTAATCAGTCATTTCTGATGATTAGATGGTTTGTAACCGGCCACAGCACCAAGGTAGCCATTTTGTGAAGTTAAGCCCTCTGCATGATAAGGTGGTTGTTTTTCAGCCTGTTTGGGTGCTCTCAAAGTTCTTGTTTCCCCAGTGATTCCAAAGGTTAGTTGTCTCTCAAGCAGGGAAGTCAACAGATCACATGCCTCTTGATCTTTCTGATTAGTTATGATCTAGTGAATTGATTGCAATCCATCAGATATGAATTGGAGCCTGACAGTTGCTTCAGACAGGTAGTAAAATGTGGAGATCAGTCACTTCCTTCGTGGGTAATCTAGTGGTTGGATAACTTTACTTGCCAGTGCTACTGGTCTTTCTAGCTGGTGTAGCTAGGAATTAGCAACTATTGGAAAGCTCCAAATTCTTAATTTCTCCACTTCTGGGGTCCCCAAACTTGGCAACTTTAAGACTTGTGGACTTCAATTCCCAGAATTCCTAAGCCAGCTATGCTGGTTGGGGAATTCTGGGAGCTGAAGTCCACAAGTCTTAAAGTTGCCAAGTCTGGAGACTTCTGCTCCACTTTGAGGATGATAATTCTTTTTAGAAGTTTTTTCAATAAAAGGGTACAAAAACTGCACTGAACTCTCCTTGACTGTTTCCTAGTATGATTTGATTGCTTATTATACCCCATAACTATTACTGTTGTACCTGATGATTCTTGACTCTTGACGAATGTATTTTTTCCTTTATGTACACTGAGAGAATTTGCACCAAGACAAATTCCTGGTGTGTCCAATCACACTTGGCCAATAAAGAATTCAATTCAATTCAATTCAATTCAATTCAATTCTATTCTATTCTATTCTATTCTATTCTATTCTATTCTATTCTATTCTATTCTATTCTATTCTTCATCCAATATTCTATTCTATTCTCCACTCCACTCCATTCTATTCTCCACTCCACTCCACTCCACGCCACTCCACTCCGTTCCGTTCCATTCCATTCCATTCCATTCCATTCCATTCCATTCTATTCTATTCTATTCTATTCTTCATCCAATATTCTATTCTATTCCATTCCACTCCACTCCACTCCACTCCACTCCACTCCATTCCATTCCATTCCATTCCATTCCATTCCATTCCATTCCATTCCATTCTATTCTATTCTATTCTATTCTATTCTATTCTATTCTATTCTATTCTATTCTATTCTATATTCTATCATTCTCAACACCCTAAGCCAGTAGGCATTGAACCCTGTGAATTTAATCTCACAATGGCTGAAGGATCATGGGTTCTCCACGTCCAACTTAATCTGTACAATTCATAGCTACATTTAATTTATATTCTCACATTTCTTTTTTGGTCTCTCTCTTTTTAAGAAAGAACTTCCTCCTTTCTATAGTCCATGGATGGAGATTGCTCACAGGTTGGCTTCCTTGATTGAGAGCCATCAACTACGTTCCCAGGTCCACAAGGTACTGAAATTCATTTTCATGCATGACATTTAGTCATAGAGATCCCACATCATGCTTCTTGGTGCTCTAGGACAGGGGTCTCCAACCTTGGCAACTTTAAGACTTGCGGACTTCAATTCCCAGAATTCCTCATTTTGCTTGCCAACTCTTAAAGTTGCCAAGGTTGGAGACCACCGCTCTAGGAAGGCAGTTTCCTTTCTCTATTGCATGCTGGAGGAGTGAATGCTAGCTTTCCTATCAGCCCTGTCTTTGAGTAGGGATGTCCATTTTTACTTTTTGAAATACTCTGAAGCATTTGTGTGCTTATTCTCTCAGCATTCATCTTATTGATTCAAAATAGAATGTGAATTCGCAGGAGATATTTGATTTTGAAGTGTGAGGCAGAACAATGAAAGCGGAAGAGAACAAAAAACATCTTGTTGATGACCCAAGCTCTGTAAAGGACCTTGGAATACTCACCTCTAATGATCTAAGTGCTAGAGCCCACTGCAACTACATAGCCAAAAAGGCATTAAGAGTTGTTAACCTAATCCTACGTAGCTTTTTCTCTGGTAATATCACACTACTAACCAGAGCATACAAAACATTTGCTAGACCAATACTCGAATACAGTTCATCAGTCTGGAACCCACACTACGTATCTGATATTAGCACAATTGAGAAAGTCCAGAAATATTTCACAAGAAGAGTTCTCCACTCCTCTACTCGTTGTAGAATACCTTATGCCACCAGACTTGAAATTCTAGAACTTGAAAACCTTGAATTACGCCGTCTTCGGTCTGACTTAAGCATGGTATATAAAATCATACATTGCAATGTCCTACCTGTCAATGAATACTTCAGCTTCAACCATAACAACACAAGAGCACACAATAGATACAAACTCAAAGTAAACCGCACCAAACTTGATTGCAGGAAATACGACTTCAGCAATAGAGTGGTCAATGTCTGGAATACTCTACCCGACTCTGTAGTTTCTTCCCCAAACCCCAAAAACTTTAACCTTAGACTGTCTACTATTGACCTCACCCCTTTCCTAAGAGGCCTGTAGGGGGCGTGCATAAGCGCACCAACGTGCCTACCGTCCCTGTCCTATTGTTTCTCTTATTCTCTTATTTTTCTTATATGTACCCATTTCATGTATTCACAACTATGTATACATTTATACTTATTATCTTGTAAACAATTGGCAAATCAAATAAATAAATAAATAAAATAAATAAAATGTTTGCAAACTGCTTGGGAGATAAAAACACACCTGAAATAGTGAACCTTCTATTTTTTCTTCTGCAATGCTGCAAAAGTTCCTGTAGATGGCACTTGTTCCACAGAAGAGAAAATATCGTTGCTTAGATTTCATAATTTAAAATCTGCTTTCTAATTTATATGTAGTACTGTAATTTACATGTTATAAACCACACATCAAAAGACAAAAGAGAAAGTAACAAAAACAAGATGGTGCAAAAAAAGCAAACCAAATTTAAGAAATATATATATATTTTCAACCTTCTTTCCAACAGATAGTTACAAACTTATTTTACAAATATTTTACCAATCTCCTCGCCCCTCATTTAGTCCCCAACTTGCTTAATCTTCAATTCGTGTTTTTTTTCAGCAAAAAAGTGCATATAAGGTTTCCAGTCTTTCCCCAATTTTTTTTTTTTGTTATGTGTTCTCTGACCAAGTAAGTCCGTTTAGTCATTTCTGAAAATTCTGACATTCCCTCTCTTCAAAGTAGACTGGTAACAATTAATGCAAAGAATCTAGGATTTCTGATCAATAATATTGATGAGAAGAAATGATAAAGGAAAAAGAGTCCCAGCAAACACCCTTTTTAAAACAAAACAATGTGGTGCAGCATAATTCTTGTCCATTTCTTCTCAGTTTTTCTGTGTTAGCTTTTTTTTTTTTTTTTGTGAAGCAGTAGCTGTAGCAATACCCCAATTCTGTTTGATAGTGTCATTCCTAAGAGTGTGAAAAATAACTCTCACATCCACGTAGCTGAACTGGGAACAACATATAACCAAGCCATATTTGAAGTTACCTTATTCATGTGCTGGAACTATGATGGCGTAGAATGCAGTATTGCAGGCTAACTCTGCCCACTGTCAGGAGTTTGAAACCCAGTGTGAAATACAGTCATAACTCACTTTTTTCAGTGCTGTTTTAACTTTGATCGGTCACTTAATGAATTGTTAAGATGAGGACTACCTATGCATCAAGCTCTACTGCATGCTTTCCTTCCTCTTTGTTTCTTTCCTTTTCAACTATTCTCAAGGGAAGCATTAGATCATGAGGTGTGATCAGTGGTTTATTTTCTTAATGCTCAATGTATGATGGCTGTTTTGCACATGACCATCTCCACTCAAAGCTTGCAGAAATGGAGTGCTAAATATGCAAGCGTGTGGCTTCCTGGCCCTCAGCTGTTGCGTTGTGATATGCTGGAGAAGAACGGGGTTTTTGCAGGCGTTATGTCGGAATGAAAGAGGCGAACTTATCAAAGTTAAATAGAAATGGGATGAGTTTATTGATCGGATGCATAGCAGTATGTATTCCACAGAAGATTTCAGACAAGTATTCAATTGTGTTAAAAAGGGTTCAGATGGTATGAAAAACTGCTTCTTGTAGTTTTATGTGTCTTAATGGAATAGTCTTTAGTGGAAGGAAGGAAGGAAAGGAAGGAAGGAAAGGAAGGAAGGAAAGGAAAGGAAGGAAGGAGAAGGAAGAAGAGTAGAAGGGAAGGAAGGAAAGGAAGGAAGGAAAGGAAGGAAAGGAAGGAAAGGAGGGAAAGGAGGGAAAGGAGGGAAAGAAAGAAAGGAGAAGGAAGAAGGGAAGAAGGGAAAGAATGGAGGAAAGGAAGAAAAGAAAGGAAGGAGAAGAAGGAAAGGAAAGGAAGGAAAGGAAAAGAAGGAAAGGAAAGAAAGGAAAGAAAGGAAGGAAGGAAGGAAGGAAGGAAGGAAGGAAGGAAGGAAGGAAGGAAAGGAAGAAGGGTAGGAAAGGAAAGGAAGGAAAGGAAGAAGGGAAGGAAATCACTGGAGGCTTTCAAGAAGAGACTGGACTGCCCTCTGTCAGAAATGGTATAGGGTCTTCTGCTTGGGCAGGGAGTTGGACTAGAAGACCTCCAAGGTCCCTTCCAACTCTATTATTCTACTTTCTATGAGGGAAGGATGGGGGGTGGGGAGAGCCATCAATAACAATATTATTTTTGGTTTAATGCTCTTCTGTTTCAACAGATGCCTCTTCTAAGCTGCCAGTACCTCCAAGGCCACCGAGAACTCTATTTGGCCCACCTGGTCCTCAGTTTCATCACAATGGGCTACGTCTGGCAGGACGGTGAAAAAGAGGTCCCCAAGGTATTATTAGTCCATACTTGAAACTGTTGGTCTTTCTTAAGCCTGACGTGGCCTAGCGGTATCTGCAAAAAAAAAAAAAAACAACAACAACAGGAGGATGCAATGAGGCTGTCATGCAAATGCCACAGTTAAATTGCCACGTGCCCAAATTTTGCTCACGTGACTCTGGGGGATGCTGCAATGGTCATAAGTGCGAGGAGCAGTTGTAAGTCACCTTTTTGTTGTCACTTTGAATGGGTGCTAAACGAATGGCTTCAAGTTAAGGTCCACTTGCCGTTTTTTTCTTTGGTGCTTTTTTTTAGCATAGTGACCATGGGGTCACATCGGGCAACACGGACTTATAAAGCTTTCTACTTCTTGTCCCAAAGGTGTATATGTTTTTCAAGAGGCCGCTGGACTTTCTTGGTTTTTCTTTTGAAGACGTTTTGCTTCTCATCCAAGAAGCTTCTTCAGCTCTGACTGGATGGGTGGGGAAAGGGAAGGATCTTATACCAGGGACAGGCTTCCAATAACTTAGCAGCCGGTTCTCTGCCTGATTGCTGAGTGGGTGTGGCCATGAGGGGTGTGGCCTAGTTGGCCTCCTGCACCACCCTGGGAGTGAAAATGGGCCGCGGGGGGCAGGGGGGGAAAGCGTTTTCACCCTCCCCCCGAGCTCCGGAGGCTCTCCGGAGAAATGGGCCTGTTTTCGGCCTTCCGGAACTTCTTGGAGGCCTGTTTTTCGACCTCCACGAGCCTCCCCCAGACCCTGCACTTACCTGAAATCCAAAACAAGCCACGTGGGGACTCCTGGGAGAGGCAGGGTGGGGTGGGCAGGGCCAGCCAGTCACTGGAACTATCAGTTCGCTGAATCAGATGTAAAATTAATATCCAGTTCACCCGAACCGGTGTGAACCGATAGCAGCCCACCCCTGATCTACACTCCTTGCAGACAGCTGGACATTTGCACCCATTTTGAGGGTCATTGAGGCCCCTTGGAGGTTTATCTGTGTCTTCAGGGTCACCTGAGTGTGTTGTAGATTGGAGGTAGATGATGTTGTATCCCTCCCAATCTATCTCCAATGTACAACACAGTCCTTTCGACAGTTCCAAGAAGGCTCCACACCCATTTGCACCACTCAGGTGACCCTGAGGATATAGATAAACCTCCAAGTGGCCTCAATGACCTTCTAAAAGGAGGCCAATGACCAGCTGTCTGCAAGGAGTATAAATCTTTCCATTTCCCCATCATCCTGTCAGAGCTGAAGAAGCTTCTTGGATGAGAAGTGAAACATCTTCAAAGAAAAAACAAGAAAATCCAGTTGCCTCCTGAAAAAAAGCACCTTTGGGACAACCAGGACCTGATGACTGAGAATCTCCATAAATACTTTCTACCAGTGGTGGGATTCAAATATTTTTTTTACTACCGGTTCTGTGGGCGTGGTTCTGTGGGCGTGGCAGGGGAAGGATACTGTAAAATCTTCAGTCAGAGGCGGTATTTGCCGGTTCTCTGAACTACTCAAAATTTCCGCTCCCAGTTCTCCAGTACTGGTCAGAACCTGCTGAATACCACCTCTGGTATGACCTTCAAAATATTGTTGGGGTCTCCATTCAGTGGTGGGATTCAAATTTTTTTTGCCACCGGTTCTGGGGGCGTGGCTTGGTGGGCATGGTGTGGCTTGGTAGGCGTGGCTTGGTGGGCATGGCAGGGGCAAAATCTCCCTTCCCTTCCCACCCCACTATCCTGCTTTCCAGCTCCGTTCTCCTGTGCAGGGCAACCAAAGAAGACTCAGCCGATCAGCTGTGGGTCTGGCTTGGTGGGCATGGTGTTCTGTGGGCATGGCTTGGTGGCTTGGTGGGCATGGCAGGGGAAGCATACTGCAAAATCCCCCTTCCTTCCCCACCCCACTAACCTGCTTTCCAGCTCCGTTCTCCTGTGCAGGGCAACCAAAAAAGACCCAGCCAATCAGCTGTGGGTCTGGCTTGGTGGGCATGGTGTTCTGTGGGCATGGCTTGGTGGCTTGGTGGGCGTGGCAGGGGAAGCATACTGCAAAATCCCCCTTCCCTCCCCACCCCACTCACCTGCTTTCCAGCTCCGTTCTCCTGTGCAGAGCAACAAAAGAAGACCCAGCCGATCAGCTGGGACTCAATGGGAGGCAGGGAATAGATGAGGGTGGGGCCAGTCAGAGGTGGTGTTGGTCGGTTCTCCCAACTACTCAAAATTTCTGCTACTGGTTCTCCAGAATTGGTCAGAACCGGCTGAATACCCACCTCTGCTTCTTACTTCTTTTAACCATCTGGAACCCTATTGAAACCCAGCAGGACACAGACCTAAGTGAGCTGGTGTTGACTTGCAGGCTTTGTCTTCCAGGTCTTGCCACGAAATCTGGCCATCCCTTTTGGAGAAGTCTCTGAGATGCTAGGTCTGCCTCCGATCCTGGTCCACACAGATTTTGTTTTGGTGAACTGGAAGAAAAAAAATCCCCAGGGGTAAATCCATTGACAATAGTACCTGTGCTAGTTGGAGATCAATCGTACCTGGAGCCATAGAACCGTCAAGCTCAGGAAATCGGGAGCCCAGGTGGTTCAAAGGAATGTATAGGTGTCAGCCTTCAAGATCTTCTACTACTGCTTTGCATCTTTCGGCTGCCATAAGTAACGGTGCGGGGGGGAGGAGGGGGGATATTGTCTGGGAAGAGGGCTGGAGGTGTTACATTCTTGTGTTGTGTAAATGAGGAGTGGGGGGGGGGAGTATAAATTCCTGCTTTTAGGTTTCTATTTCTCGCTTAGCTTTCTTTTCTCTGCACAGCTGCAAACCTTTATCAAAATATGCCAAGGTCAACGGGCAGAGGCCTCATCACCACCTGAAGATGTCCACATGATCATATTCAGAACTTTTAATTGGAAGAATCTTTTGAACTATGGGGGGTGGGAACAATTCCAGCACTTTGTATATGTGATCTGCGCGCCTAATTTCTTAGATTCAGAATTCTACTGATGTTACCACTTCAAATTCAGTAAAAGTTATCTTTGCTCTAATCTAAAGAGTCTAAGTCTGCTTTCTTGAATTTTGAATGGAGCACCACCTGACATTATTCTGAATCTAAGAAATTAGGCGCGCAGATCACATATACAAAGTGCTGGAATTGTTCCCACCCCCCATAGTTCAAAAGATTCTTCCAATTAAAGGTTTATTGCAGGTTTATTGCATGTTAATGCTGCCTACAAGAATCTGGACTCCCAAACAGTCAAAGCAAACTGGGGGTAGATAAGAGTCAGCAGCATTCAAGATGGGCTGTAAATAAGAACCAATGGAATCTGTGGTGGGCACGAAAGGACTCAAGACTGCTGACATGCTTGACTCCTCCCTCAGGTTCAGTGTGGTCATCTTCTACATCAACCTTAAATGTTGAATTGTCTAATTGGGATGTTTCCACCCAAGTTTTTATTAACAGGGTAACTTTTTTTAAAAAAAAGCAAATGAATGTAGAGTTTATTAGAATTCTAATGTTAAAGAATGGTATTTTTAACAATAGCTTAATAGCTCTGTTAATAGACTCTATTCTAATAAATTACATTTTTAACAATCATGGACTGTTTTAGGGGTTTGAAGAAGCCAACTAGCCAATGTTTGTCTCTTGAATAACAAAATAACAGAGTTGTAAGGAAATTGGAGATCTTCTAGTCCAACCTCTGCTCAAGCAGGAAACTCTATATCATTTCAAATAACACACACACACACACACAGAGTATATATTCTTAGAGTAGATTAGAATAATGTAACCCTAAAAAATATGAGGTTCCCTAATTGCAAAAATATTCAACATCAATTTTAAATTAACCTGAATTACCAACAGTTGCAGAAATGATGGAGTGAGGTATATGATAAGAGTTGCGGTGGCGCAGTGGTTAGAATGCAGTACTGCAGGCTGCTTTTGCTGACTGCCGGCTGCCTGCAATTTGGCAGTTCGAATCTCACTGGGCTCAAGGTTGACTCAGCCTTCCATCCTTCCGAGGTGGGTAAAATGAGGACCCAGATTGTTGGGGGACAAGAGGCTGACTCTGTAAGCCGCTTAGAGAGGGCTGGAAAGCACTGTGAAACGGTGTATATGTCTAAGTGCTATTACTTGGGAAGGGAAGGGAAGGGAAGGGAAGGGAAGGGAAGGGAAGGGAAGGGAAGGGAAAGAAGGAAGGAAGGAAGGAAGGAAGGAAGGAAGGAAGGAAGGAAGGAAGGAAGGAAGGAGAAACAAGAAGGGAAGAACAACCTAATAAGGGAGCTATAAAATATGCAATGGAAAGGGAGCTTCATGCTCCTGTTAACTTGGAGAGAGGAGAACCAGCCTCATAGTATGAGCCACGATGGTGCAGTGGTTAGAATGTAGTACTGCAGGCTGCTTCTACTGACTGCTGGCTCCCTGCAATTTGGCAGATCGAATCCCACCAGCCTCAAGGTTGACTCAGCCTTCCATCCTTCTGAGGTGCATAAAATGAGGACCCAGATTGTTGGCGGGCAAGAAGCTTGACTCTGTAAACAGCTCAGAGAGGGCTGTAAAAGCACCGTGAAGCAGTATATAAATAAGTCTAAGTGCTATTGCTGTAAACATCTGACAGATTTGCCCAAATGTTTGTAGTCTAGATCTGCTTGCTCATGTATACATATTGCTCTGTATATGAAATGCACAGGTGGGGGTATGTTGTTGTTAAAAGCACAGCTGTATCATGATGGACTTTAACCTTCAGTTGATTTCATCTCTTCATTTTGCTTCCTTGGGTATGTTGGCGGATGTCACCTCAATTTCTCCAAGGCGGCTGGAAATTGAGTAAGTCTTTGAGAATCCCTGTTTTCTTTTTTCTTTTTTTGCAGGACAAGATTAATTTAGTTATCACCTTGGAGTCAATTTTCAGGCTGTTTGAAGTCAAACAGCTGCTACTTTTAGGAAGACAGTTTCTGTTTACATTGTTCACAGCTCCTATTTTTGCCAGTTATGCTCCCAGGGAATAGAAAACTGAGATTTGGGAGAATCATCCTTCTCCATCAAACAGCTGCTTGTGGGTAGGTTGCAGCTTTCATCTCGAGCACAAATGGCAGAACTAACCAGAAATGGTTTGTTTAGCAAGTAGCTTGCCTCCTTTCCAGGCCATCGCTGAAACCCAAGGTTCATCTGACTATTTATTTCACGTAGCTTTGTTTTTCCTTGGCTTATGATTCTTTACTGGAATTCTAATCTAATGCAAAATTGAGGTATGCCTTCAGTGGTTCTGGTTTATTTCGGTGCCACTTTTCACTGTTACGCTTCCCTTTTTAAGTTACTTATAAAGAAACAGGGTCATTGATGTGGGGGGGGGGAAGTCACCTACATTTGTTTCTATGTTCCTGTGTCAAACAGGCAGTGTGGATATTTTTTTTTTGAAGGATTGTCAAAACTTGCCAAGCTGTGAATGGAAGCAATGAAAGAGATTGTGCGCAGTTTATATAGATCTGTTGTTTTGTATGCACCGTGGGCTTTTTCGGAGGAGCAACCTCTCCCTTGAAAGCACTAATAAACACTTCTACTTCCTTTCCTAGACTTTTGATCTTGTTCTCTTCGCAGGAATCTGGAGCCCATTGTGACCTTTCCTGGAGGGAAAAGTACAGTTGGGTTCATCCTTGTCAGTTTACTGGCAGAGAAAGTTGCTGCACCAGGACTCAAGGTCTAGTTTTACCCTAAATTAATGATCAATGTTTGTTTTTGTAAGGGGTTGAGGAGAGCATTCCCCAGCATTCTGGCTAATCGGGAAAGCACTGTCAACTCATAAAATATTTATCTGGTCTTTTTAGAGTTGCCAACAGAAAGGGAGGAGGGACTAGTATAGCAGCTTGCAAAACCAAAACTATATTCCATGGATGTTTTCATAGATAGTTTCCAGGTGACCGGATTTGCTGCGCAACATTCAAACTGGAGAGTATGATTGATGACCTGAGTTGAGTTCATGTGATGTCCTGGGGCGTGACACAAAAATAACAAAGTCACCAAAGTAGAATAAATTCTCTTTAATGCCTCCAAGGTGGCCCCCTATGTCCAGTTATCATTGGCTGGAGATCAAACTCTTCAAAAAACAGTCTACAAAGGGCAGAAATGCAGTCTGAACCCAAAGTAAAGATAATTAGAAATTAAAAAAAAAACAAAAACACAAATCACATTGAAATAATTAACACGACAGGCCAGGATGTAAATTGCAGACTTTCAAAGGATAATGCAAAACTCACAGTTGAGAGGACGCCAAAACCCAGATAAGGCTTGACCAAGATAATTCACGCTTTGCTTCCAGCAAGGAGCTGTTTGCAAACGCCCCACTTATATCCTGTTCTCCCAGCTGCAACTAATGAAAGGGATCAGGGCCTTTTTCTCTCCTGTAAGCCATGTTGCTCCCTTCTCCGTTCCTCCCTGCGTGCCCTAGGATGGAGAGGGGTGGCCCTGGGTCTTCCTCTGAATGCCCAGCCAGACTGTGCCCTTCTCTCGTTTCCTCCACAGCCACCGGAGCCACACTCCCACTCCCTGTCAGCTGCTCCATCTCCCCCTCAGAATCAGACTCCAACAAGGGCATGACAATTCACCTAACAAGCTAGACTAGGTTAAAACAAGTTGGTGGCCTGTAATTTAGCAGATAGTGGGAATCCAACCAGTCTCAACATAGTCATCACATTAAGTTCTAATACAGGGGTGTCAAAACTCAGTTTTATTGAGGGCCACATCAGGGTTGTGTTTGACCTTGGGGGGAGATTGGGTGGGCATGGGCAGGATGTCAGCATTCCAAGTAACAAACTCCAACCCAACAAACTCCGAGGCAAGCATTTTTTTTCAAACTTCCATTTTATTAGAATTGTCATATTGGAAACATCGGAGAGATCCGTGTTTTCCCTTCGTAACTGAAATTCAAAATCCATCCCCTGCACCCATCACATGATCCAGTCACCGATCGTTCCAACTGGAGACATTCCTCCAACCACTCATAAGGTCAAGGACAAGGGTAACTTGTCCTTGACCTTATGAGGAGAATGTTATGTCTAAACTTCCACCTCTCCATGAAATCCCCCCTCCCAAATTCCCAGGCTCTAAAATGTGGCAGCCCGGAAGCTTCTAAATAAAATATGGCTCCCAAAGCTGACACAGGGTGGGCATGGCCAGTTCGATGTCAGTTGTGTGTGAGGTGCCTACGGTGGCCTGAGTGCCAGTGAAATGGCTCCCAAGATCTGTTTTCACCTGCAGAGGCACTGTGAGCTGGTCCTTTGCTGTTTTCAGGGTGACCCCATGGGCCAGATCTAAGTACTCCATGGGGCCTGTTCTAATATAATACCTTGACATGTTGAGGAGGATCCCAGGGGTGGGATTCAAATTTCTCAACAAACCAGTTTTGTGGGCGTGCCCTAATTTGTGGGTGTGGCTTGGTGGTCATGTGCATGGATGGGCGTGGCTTGTATGTAAATATTGTAAATATTTGTATGGTATTCAGCTTTGTTCTGGTATTTTCCCACGTCATTACAGTTGTGCTTTTAAAGTTGTAGCAACGTTTCGGCAGAATCTCATCTGCCATCAACAGGCTTCTGTATAGTCTGTGAATATTTATGTCAATATTGAATTTTTTCATTAAAAAAGAGCAACTTTTATCCAAAACGAGGCAAAGTAGGCAGGCAGATTGAGTTGCTTGCAGAATCACAGGTTCACTTAGAGATCTATCTATCTGCAATCTGCTGCCTGAGTCTGCACTGAAAAACAGACGCTTCAGTCCTAAGGAAGGTTCAGCTCTGCTCTCAGGCCAGTGGTGTGATTTGCCGGTTCTCCGAACTTTGCAGAATTGTAACAACCGTTCTAGAGACCTGGTCCAAATCAGCAGAATCCCACCCCTGGGCCCAGCATGCTCTGTAAACGAAGCAAATGTGTCCTGTTCATCCTTGTTAAGAGTCATATGCAGTGGTGGGATTCAAATCATTTAACAACCGGCTCTCTGCCCTAATGATTCCTTCCAACAACCAGTTTACCAAGCTGTTCAGAAAGTCAACAACCAGTTCTCCTGAAGTGGTGCGAACTGGCTGAATCCCACCACTGGTCATATGAATCCAGCGTTGGCTCACATGCTAGAAACTTTGACTTCTGCAACAAGCGAAGTAGAATTCTGCCTACGGTAGGGAAAATGAACACATTTCTCTGGGTGATCTGTAAAATGATTCAAGGCAATAATAATAATAATAATAATAATAATAATAATAATAATAATAATAATAATAATAATAATGATGATGATGATGGAACCAGCAAAATGGAAAGCTATAATGAAGCCAATGGATTCCTGCAAGGCAATTTAACATTTCTGCAAGGAATCGGGTGGCATGTAAATTTAAACACAGCTCTCTTGTTTCCTGCAGGCAATTGCCAAAGCGGTGAATGGACTTCTTCAGCCAAATGACAAAATCCTGGCTGAAGCATTGCAAGAAGTGACAAACACACTTCAAGAAATGACCAAAACTCTGAAGAAAATGCATGGTAAGCCTGTGATTCCCCACACACTTAGATGTAGACATAGAGCATCAGAGTGGGAAGGGACCTCGGAGGTCTTCTAGTCCCACCCCTTGCTCGAGCAGGAAAGTTGACACCATTCCAGATTGGGTGTCCAATCTCTTCTTCATGAGTTGGCAATAAAAAAAATGTTCATATTTAGAAACATCAACTTTAAGAGAAGATTAATGTTTTATTCCTTACGGCTCATCTGAGATTGATTAGGATGGCTCATTCTTCTTCGCAATTGATTGGATGCTTTCAAAATGATTCTTTAAAAATATATAAGAGGGACAAAGAATGTTTAGCATTAAATGCAAGATAGTGTTATACAGAAGTTGATACAAAAAGAAGCAGATATTCCAAGCCAGTTGGGGTCCAGAACACACTGGCCCACAACCTTCTACAAAACTGATATTCTCAATTGCTGCTGTAACTCTCTCTCTCTCTCTCTTTATCATTGATTTGTTTGTTCATGTCTTCTTCAATAAAATGTGCCCCCTCTGATATGTACTTATATAGCAATAGCATTTAGACTTATATACTGCTTCACGGTGCTTTGCAGCCCTCTCTAAGTGGTTTACAGTCAGCATATTCTCACCAACAATCTGGCCCCACATTTTACTAACCTCGGAAGGATGGAAGGCTGAGTCAACCTTGAGCTGGTCAGGATTGAATTGCTGGCAGTTGGCAGCGTTATCCTGCAATACTCCATTCTAACCACTGTGCCACAATGACAGGAAGGAAGGAAGGAGGGAGGGAGGGAGGGAAAAAGAAAGAAAGAGGGAGGGAGGAAGAAAGGGGAAGGTAGGTAGGAAGGAAGGGGAAGGAAGAAAGGAGGGAGGGAGGGAGGGAGGAAAAAGATAGAAAGGGAAAAAAAGAGGGAGGGAGGAAGGAAGGAAGGAAGAAAAGAAAGAAAGAAAGAAAGAAAGAAAGAAAGAAAGAAAGAAAGAAATAGCAATAGCAGACTTATATACTGCTTCACATTGCTTTACAGCCCTCTCTAAGTGGTTTAGAGTCAGCATATTATCCCCAACAATCTGGGTCCTCATTTGACTGACCTCAGAAGGATGGAAGGCTGAGTCAACCTTGAGCTGGTCACCATGTTACAAAAAAAGATGTTGAGACTTTGGAAAAAGTGCAAAGGAGAGCAACTAAGATAATTAAAAGCCTGGAGACTAAAACATGTGAAGAATGGTTGCAGGATTTGGGTTTGGCTAATCTAGAGAAAAGAAGAATTAGGGATGACATGACAGCAGAATTCCAGTATTTTGAGGGGCTGCCCCAAAAAAGAGGGGGTCAAATTATTCTCCAAAGCACCAGAAGGCGAGACAAGAAACAATGGATGGAAACTGATCAAGGAGAGAAGCAATCTGGAATTAAGGAGAAATGTCCTAACAGTGAGGACAATTAACCGGTGGAACAGCTTGCCACCAGAAATCATGGGTGCTCCATCACTGGAGGTTTTAAAGAAGAGACTGGACAGTCACTTGTCTGAAATGGTATAGGGTCTCCTGCTTAAGCAGGGGTTGGACTAGAAGACCTCCAAGGTCCCTTCCAGCTCTATTCTGATTGAGGATCGAACTCTTGGCAGTCAGCAGAAATAGCCTGCAATACTGCATTCTAACCATTGTGCCACCACGGCTTACATATGCTTATGTAAGACTCCTGTGTTTTGATTTTTTTTTTTTAAATGATGCAGTCGAATTTTTCTTAATCTCAACCCAGAATAAAACAAGAGAGAGAAAAAATATATATATAGCCCATGGATTCTAATTGTGCCTGAATTGCACAGAGATAATTTTAGTCATAAAATCATTTTGCTGAATCTGCCCTCCAGGGTTGCTCAGGGGAGAACATTAAAAAGATTTCTAGACAAAGAGCATCAGTCGTGGTGACAGGAGAGAGAGAGAGAGTAAATCTTTAATGCCGCGATGAACCTTTGAATTTCCCTCCGTGCTTGACAGATCCCACTTCTGAATCACAGTATTGTGGCTCAATATTGTTGATTCATCGCTTGGTTATTTTCTTGGCCTTTTTGCAGCCTTGATATTAACAAAGCCTTTGATGTTGTAAGATTTGCCCAACGTTTAGTTCTGTAATTATCTCTTGCGATTAGTGAAAGCAGTCCCACTGGGGCTAGATGGAGGCTTAGCCAAATGAATAGAATTGATTTCCACATGTTGGCCTCTCTCCTAGGCAGTCCTGCCTCCAGTCTCAGCGCTGCATTGGGTTCACATCTCAAGGTCAATAATAATAATAAAAAGAGATCTTTACAAACCAGACTGCTTCATTTCTCACGGGGAGCAGAACCAGTTGTAGTCATGCCCTGTGTAGAAAATGAGCAACAGATTTTGCATTGAATAATATAATATAATAATCATCTTCTTTTAACAACCCTATAATCCTTTGCGGGATGGAGTCTGGGCCAGTGAATGGAGCTGGCGGAGTGTTTTACTGGCCAGATGCCTTTCCTGTCACCAATGCGGAGTTTTGTTCAGCAGATATATTCTCATTGTGCCCAGAGAGAGAAATATCTGCCTCTACCTAGAATCATATAATAACATAACATAACATAACATAACATAACATAACATAACATAACATAACATAACATAACA